ATGCATCACGGAGAGCTAGAATATAGTGTATAGTGATTAAGGCACCAGAGTAGAGACTGGGAGACCGGAAGTTCTAGTCCTGCCTTGAGCACAAAGCAAGTTGGATAACCTTGGGCCAATCACTCTCACTTAGCCCTAGGAAGGAGACAAGGCCAAAGCACTTCTGAAAAAAAAAAACCTTGACAAGAAAACTGCAGGGACTCATTCAGACAGTCTCCAGGAGTCAAGACTAACTCAAAAGTATCCCCCCAAAAAGTATAGCCCAAAGGCATTCTTGTTAATGTATTTTACTTTGGAGCTAAACCAGAAGTCTTTTAAGTGTCAGCTTTCTTCAAGAACATGTGTACATATGTGCATACGTTTATGCATACAGTATGCATGTTTGCGTGTTATGTGTATACTGAAATTAAAATGGCAGGGTTTTCTATGAATTGTCCTGAAGATCTAAGCACTCATTAAAATTTATCAAAGATCCTCAAAAGTAACCTTTTAAAAATCTATCAATCACAGATTAAAAGCACTAATAAGGAAAAAAATGACATGCATTAATCTCCGGCAAGAGGACTACAAGAATATTCAAAATAATGTTTTTCAATTAGCAATTTGGCTCATAGTTCACTTAACAGATGAAATGTAGTTCTTTCAAGAACACATGGCAGCCCTTCCTGTTAATTACTGCATTATTATAAGCAGAAGTTTGAAGATACATTTGCAGAAACTATACAGAGAAATCTCATTTAAAGAATCTGGGTTTTTTTTGGGGGGGGGGAGAATATGTGGCATTCCCCATTCTATGATCTGGTAAAAACAGAGTTTTCCTACATTGACCGTATCTCCAGAATCCTGACCGTAGGATAATGGAAAAATTACACTGGTGACTGAACCAAACCTGGAATCATTTGAAAGCCTTTATGTGAAACATTTTATTTTGCTTACTTGATCAGTCATAACATTCTCCAAACTATAGTTGGGATCAATACAGGTAGTCTTCGACTTACAACCATTTGTTTAGTGACAGTTTAATGTTACAATGGCACCGAAAAAAGTGACTTATGAATTTTCACACTTATGGCCGTTGCAGCATCCCCATGGTCACATAATCAAAATTCAGAGGCTTGGCAACTGGCATGTATTTATGACGGTTGCAGTGTCCTGGGATCATGTGATCACCTTCTGCAACCTTTTGACAAGCAAAGTCAATGGGGAAGCCAGATTCACTTTACAACCATGTTATTGACTTAACAACTGCAGTGGTTCACTTGACAAGTGTGGCAAGAAAGGGCGTAAAATGAGGCGAAACTCACTTAACAACTGTCTCGCTTAACAACAGAAATGTTGGGCTAAATTGTGGTTGTAAGCCAAGAACTACCTGTATTACTTTGTACAGTATTCTCAATTTTTAATTGTTCACTAAATGTTTATTATCTATATTGGATAAAGAATCCTTTTGAATGGGAACATATGAACATACTGTATCTAATACTCAGTGTTGGGATTCAAATATGTGAACAACCGGTTCTCTGTGTTGATGCCGCTTCCGGAAGTCCATTTTGGGCCTGGCCAACAAAAAATTAGCTACCGGTTCTGCTGAAGTGGCGCAAACTGGCTGAATCCCACCACTGGGGGGGGGGGGGACTAATATGATTCACCAATTACAGTATGTGAACCTTAAGGCACTTAGGTACCGTTTTTGAAGAATGTATTTGGAAGACAATATGCTTTGTGTGAAATACCTATTTCAGAATAATTTTAATACCTGAAGTAGGTTCTTGACCATGTATTTAGCGGTATTAAGTATAAATTTAACTAATGGCTACTAAAGCTGAACAAACAAAACATTATTTTTATTAGGTCTGTACATTGCTTCAGATTGCAGGGCAAAAAAAAACTTAAGCCAAAATGCAATGTGAATAGTCCACAACGTAAACCGATTATATCATTTCCTAGAATTATCTGATTGCCTCTTCTGATTTTAATTGTTCATTATTTTATGGATACTGGCTTTAGAGTTATGTTTATTTTTTTAAAAAAACAAAACCTACATTTGTATAATGTTATTCAAGAAATAATTTAATCTGGAGCTGAAAGCTTGCAATGCTTCATGCCAACTGAGGAACTAATAGAGTACTTGAATTGAGAATGTTCTCTCTTGGGCTGCCATGTATGAAATTCCTGGCAGATGTGACACCCTAAGGAAGACATTTCCACTAGATTTTAAATGGCAATCAGAAACATCAGGGAGCAAGTACTTTGCTAGACAGCCATGACTTAAGTTAAAAAGAGCTCTGTATGTCATTACAACTTTGAACTTATTTGGGTAGTAAACCAGCAGCCAGGTCACTGCCTTTGAAAAAGGTCTAACCATTCACTGTAAGATGTTCCTTTCAGCATTTTATATTACCGTAGTTAGAACTTCTAAGCCTGGAGATTTGAGTTTACTTGTCAAATGTTACCTCAAAGACTTGATTTTTTTTTCAGTTTCAAATCTTTTAACCACTGAACAACTTGAAAGTGGTTACTACAGAAGCTTAAAATTGCTAAACTTCAAACACATTGTATTCTCCAGATCTGGCAAACAATTCTTATCGCCTGTAAAGTTAGAAGCTATCACCTGAAGACAGTTATCACCTGAAGACAGTGCAGGCTGATAACAATAAAATCCAACCTTATTTGCCTGCCAGCAGAGTGGACAACTTTAGCAGGACAGATTCTCCATCCACCCTGCAGTCCATTTAAGATTTCTTAAAAATTGTTTTGAATAACCATCACATTTGATAAACCATTTTCTTTGTTGTAGCATTTCCAAGTTTTAGAAAGAATAATTATTTCTAATTGTGTTACCAGAATGTTTGAGCCCAGATGTATTTGGTTGTTTTATAATGAATAATCTCAGTTTTACTTCAGGATATATTTATTTTAACCCAAATTACAGATTTGGTGAATTTGTATATCAGAACCAATTCATTAGAGTAGCCTATAAACTCTGTAAATAAGAGGGAGAAGGAAGGAAGGAAGGAAGGAAGGAAGGAAGGAAGGAAGGAAGGAAGGAAGGAAGGAAGGAAGGAAGGAAGGAAGGAAGGAAGGAAGGAAGGAAGGAAGGTCAGAGACTTGATTTCTACAAGGCCACATTCTCTGGATTATCATCCTATTGAGGTGAGAAGAGAAAACTGCTGAAGATTCCTTCTCTGAGGGAATATCACCTACATAGATCCCAGCAAAAGAGCCTTATTGGCAATGATTGTCTTTGAAACAGATGATTCCTTGATATGCAGTAATCCTCCACCTTATTTGGCTTTTGAAGGGACCTGCGACAACAAGGGGGGGTCAACCTATTCTCCAAAGGCCCTGAAGGCAGGACAAGAAGCAATGAATGGAAACTAATCAAGGAGAGAACCAACTTAGAACTAAGGAGAAATTTCTTGACAGTGAGAATCATTAACCAGTGGAATGGCTTGCCTCCAGAAGTTGTGGATATCACTGGAGGTCTTTTGAGATTGGACAGCCATTTGTCCAGAATGGTATAGAGCCTCCTATTTGTGCATGGAGTTGGACTAGAAGATCTCCAAGGTCCGTTCCAACTCTGTTATTCTGTATTCTAAAGACTCGGCTGTTTAAGAAGCCATTTGAAGATATGGACATTTGATCCAACACTATACAATGGCCCTGTTATGGTTTGTGGCAAGTTCATGTTTTAGATTTTTATTTTAATATTTACTGTAGCATTCTGTAACCCACTTAGTCTCTGGATATTGGGCAGAAGAGAAGCATTAGTAAATAAGTAAGATAAATATTGGAATCACTACATCATTGGTTTTTGAACATAATGAATAATTCCTATTTTCTTTTTGTAATTTTTGTAAACATAAACTACCCATACAAATTTATGAGAAAAGAATCGTGATGAGATCCAACTGTGCAGAGGCTGATGTGAAAGCAACTGCTGCTTTTGTCTTTAGTGTTTATGTAAACTAAATGTCAACACTGCAACGATCCTGGCTGAAGTCATTTTTGCTTCATTTTCAGTTACCATAGTACTCGGAGGGGGATGAGCGGTTTTAAGGTTAGACTAAACAATAAATTGTCCCGTGGGAACCAAGGTCATTGCTGCCTGACTTTTGGTGGGCTGAGCCTTCCGTTAGAAAGTCCACTAAAGTATTCTATTGGGGAACATGGATAATGACATACTGATGGGGTGGGAAGTTCAACTTTGTAACACTGCAACACTTGGGAGGGAACTGCAGACTTGGTTTCACTTTTGACTGTGCTGATACTTTGTAGCCAATAAATATGTTTTTTAAAAAAACCTCTAGCCTTGGGGTTCTGCTTTTACTGGTCTCATCTATCGGAACCACGACAATACACAGATGTTTTAGTGTGCACGGACACTGGTTGTGGACTACAGAAGTGTTCCAAGGAGAACTGTGAAGAACTTAGCATTGTTCTCAGCAACCCATTTACCTTGTCTGCGTCTACCTTTCCTCTGATGAATTCAGATTTCCAGAACTGCAGAGCTTGCTCTAGTGTTAAGCCAATGCCCTTGAGGAATAAGCCATATTGCATACGGCCTCCATGACGGAGATGATGGTTATCACGCAGAGCTTTGTGGAGCTGGCGCATGCAGAGAGGAAATGATTTAACCGAAAGCTGTAACAAGAAAACTTGGATTAATGATCTGCTGACTACATTAACTTACAGGCTGTATTTTGATCACCAACCAGAAAGGTGAAGAATTTTGAAAGAATATTTGCATACAGTAGACTACAGGGAAGAAAGGAAAACTCTATCTCACAATTTCAATATACTGTCAACATTTAGTTGTAATTTTCTTTTGTGCAAATGCAAGAATAAATGGAAAACAGATGTTAAAAAATATTAAAATTGTATTAGTTACAGTAAAAAGCATAAATCAATATAAGTAATTAATCTAGAGTCTCATTCTATTTTGAAAGCATCTTTACTATCCCTCCCTTTAATATATTCTAAATTAATGTCCCAGGTGTCAGTTATCTGAGGCTATTTTTCTGTTTATTTAAAGCTGTTTACCATATTTACTTAAAAGGAAGACAAGGCTAAATTTGATTGCCTACCACTAACACTAGGAAGTATCATGGGGGGGGGGGAATATCAACAAAGATAAACATATCTATGTCTGACTTTCTTACTTTGTCAACTTTGATAGCATCACATCAGCCAAACCAACTTCTGGCCTCGAGGTATATGTGCATGCAACATACTTATATTTATAAAAATATCCATTCCAAAAGAGGGCAGGGCAACACAAAAATATACATTTTTCTTAACTGAACTAGCGACCACTAATTAAAATTGACTTCTTGTAAAATAACACCCCATCACCTGCAAATACTAACCATTCTGTCCCACAGAAATGCGTACTACAATATATACACACACACACTCCTCCCTCCTCCCAGCAAAACAACAAGCCAATAACAAATATTGGCTGATAAGAAACATGAAGTAGGGTTTTGAAACCAGATTTAGTATGCCCAAGAGATAAATTTTTCAGGCAGCCAAGTAGGGCGTGGTCCTCTGACTACTGCAGGAAATTGAACTGCAGGAAACTGAACAAGGGAGAGGAAGGGATGCTTGGGTGGTTGAAGAGGTAAGAGGATAACTTTGCTCATCTATTACTATGCAGCAGCAGCTGAGGAAAGCTGCCCTAGTGATGATAGTCTGGTTTCCTCTTAATAGCTGTTGCCAGGGATTAGGGTTCAATGCCTGAATCCCACACAAATGGGCATGGGCTCATGTGAAAGGTTTGCTTTGGGCTAGAGAGCTCTACTTATGCTCCTGTTACTCTTCTTGTTTCATTTATTTTAAACCTACTTTCATTCATTTAAGCATACATTGTTCTATGAGTTATGTTTTATTCTTCAATTCTTTATATATAGATCATTGTAATCGCTATACGAATGTTGCTATCAGTATGTTTGAGACACCATAAATACACTGTAGTGGATAGACAAAATTATTCAGTTTAACGACAGTGATTTGGAGGCAATATACTTACAGCATCAATTTGTTCCAATGAAATTTTGCCCATTGCTTTTTCAATATTATAATCTGGACCAACATATGCATGGCTATGATGTGGAAAAAGAAGAAAAGAAATAAATGTTATTTTTAGAATTTAAAAGGACATTTTTGTTGTTACTATGGGAACGAAAGGCCAAGTATTTTTGTTTACATAAACTTTAAAGATAATATTTCAAAACTGGTGTTCAAGAAATTAATATGACTTTAAAATAATTCTTTCACTTTGGAGAACTTAGGGTTTTTTTCTTTATGTAATACATTTCTGATTAACAGAATGGATTTATTTGGAAATATTTCTATTACACTTTAGAAGAACATTAGAGTTCAAGTAGAAGCAGATTATTTGAACTCTAATGAATCATATGAAAATAATTGTTGAATACTTTTTTTGTAAAATTCAGGTATAACCTCTCAGATGTTTCTTATTAAGGGAGCCACAGAATAATAATCTTTTCTTGAATTTTTAAACTGATTTCATTACTTAGTAATATGAGGAACTAAAAGACAAAGATAAATAATATGCCGCTATAGTTCCATCATTATGTTTTTCAAAAGGTTCTGAGAAAAGGGAAACATTAAAATAAAGCCCCTTTTTCAAGGGCAAAATATAATTTTACAAATGTGAGCCAACGATTACCTAAGGGAGAAATCTGAAGTGTTGACTGGAAACAGATGTTGTATGTCAACAATATTGCTAATTATCTGCATGGCACGTTCATTATGTTAAAAACGCTCCCATTACTTCCCCATTAGTGATACAAGTATTGAAATAGTATCTTTGAAGATAAAGTTGCAATGAATCCATTGCCAAGTTAACCATTCGTAAATAAAAAGCTTAGTAATATCTGAATTATTCTTTTTTTATTTAAAACATTTTTTTTTGCCTCCCCCTGTAAATTTCATGGTTTGAAGAGTCTAAAGAACACAGTGCTCTTCTGTATATGAGCTCCTCACTCACCCTGTCCACAGGATTAGATTATTCTGCAGGCAGAGCGGATGGGCCCAGTTGTGGGAAGAAGTAAAACAACCCCATTCTGCTTTTGGGCGAGGACACAGGACCAATCGATCCATTAGGCACAATGCCTAGACCAGTGTTTCTCAACCTTGACAATTTTAAGACATGTGGACTTCAACTCCCAGAATTCCACAGCCAGCATTGCTGGCTGTGGAATTCTGGGAGTTGAAGTCCACATGCCTTAAAATTGTCAAGGTTGAGAAACACTGGCCTAGACCCTACAAAAATGTCTTCACCTTTTTTTAATCCAAAAGAATTAAAATGAATTTCCCTCAGCTACTCAAACCAGACCCGATTTGTACAAATGAATCAGACTGTGGACCTTCAGAAGTAACGGACCCCAAAAGATCCAGCAAATTGAGGTTCTGCTGTGTTTTTCATTACCTGAGGTGATTGAGCAGGGGTTGAAGTCTCTCATCAGTTTGTACTATAGGCAGTGATCGTGCTGTTAGCTAAAAGTGAACAAATACAAGAAGTTGCTGAGGAGCAATAATGCGCGCGCGCACACACACGCACACACACACATACACAGATACAGAACAGACATGTACAGTGTTATATGTGAGACAGGGATCTTATTTGCTAACTCATTAACCTGATACAGAGCATCAGCTTTTCACTATGCCTTTTATCTTTATTTTCTTTCCTGCTGATCTTATTCTCAAGACACCACAGACAATATCTATTTTCTGTCATTGTTACCATAACTCTTCAAGAAAGTTGGTCTGGGACTGAAATAAATAAATAATTTGTCCGTTACATCCTGTATAAGCATCTAGGTTTACCATTGATGCAAATAGCAGTATGCATTGTTATTACTCAGTAATTTATGATGGACCAGACTGATGTTTAATAAATTGGATTTGCACACAGTACATACTAGTACAAATCCTTACCAGTCACATTAGGTAGTGAAGATGGATATAAGAGATACATCTGGTTGATTGTTTTTCAATAAAAGTATTTTGTGCTTTTCAATACAAGTATTTCGTGTTTTTCAGTGCTGATTGGGATCATTTGATTAATAACAGGACAAACAAAAGACGAGCTTGACCATTGATCACTTTCTTTCATAACTGACATTATTATTATGCATTTTATTCCAAAGAAGAACAAAAAGTCAGTACTCTAGAACAATATTCCTGAATTTCACACTGCTCACGTTAAGATAATATATACACTGTCTGTTAAAAAGTCAGAGATTCACAAATTGCAGGAGAGACTATAACATCAGCACAAAATTCTGTTAAACAGCAATTATGATAATGAGTTATCATATTTCAGGGTGGTAATCAAATTTTGTTAAATGCAGAAAAAATAATACATAAAAATGCAGTTGAATTATTTGCATTCAATTATTTCAAAACTTTCTTCACTAAGGAGAAAATGATGCTAGGGGATTGGTGTATTTCCCCCACCCTAAAAATCTAAAGTGCAGGGTTGGGTGGGGGAGAGGATCTAAAACACTTCCTCTTCTAGTTCTTCTCCTGGATTCTTTTTTTTCCAAGTCATTTTTATGTTTGGCATCATAGACATAGAATGAGAATGGTCTCAGCATTTTACCCACAGATCCTTTTAGGTATTACGTGTCACATATTTTCTTCTGCTTTATTCAAATTGGAACAGAGAAGCCTTTACACCAGGGCTTTTCAACCAGTGGTACGGGTACCACCTGTGGTACATTGGCACTTGGCAGGTGGTACGCGACCATCCTAGAAAAGTGGTAGCGGGGGAGGGGAATGAGCTGAACCGGTGGCAGCACCGCACAAGCCTGAGCAAGAGACGGCTGGAGCTGCAGGGCTGTCAGGGCTCAGCGGAAGCGCCAGGATCCGCACCAGGCTCCAGCTGGAGCTCGGCGCTGATCCTGGCGCTTCTGCTGAGCCCTGAAGAAGCACCAATCAGCTGGAATGTTGCAGCATCTACAGGGTCTTGTGATTTACATTCAGACGCTTGCAACTGATTCATATTTATGACGGTCACAGTGTCCCAGGGTCATGTGAAGTGACCAAAACCTGCTGCAACCACCCAGCAGACGGGGGAATAAAAACCAAACACCCCCCCACCCCACCCTCGCTGCCAATCCTCAACAGAAATGCTCACAACAATGAAAACCTCGGACAGGAGGAAGAGCGCCGCCGGGCGGGCAGGCAGGTGTCTTGCTCGGCTGTGGCTTCGGGGGCACTTTTTTCAGTGCCATTGTAACTTCGAACAGTCACTAAGTGAACTGTTGTAAGTCGAGGACTACCTGTACTTTATCACTTTTTTCCTTTTTTTTTTTTTTTTTGGTCATCAAGTTTTTGATACTGTGCTAGGCGACTGGTGGTACTCGGATATTGCCATATCCTAAAAGTGGTACAATGGGTGAAAAGGTTGAAAAGCCCTGCTTTACACAACTCACCTCTACCTACAAATCATGCTGGTTTGTAATGTTCAACATCTTAGCCAGCACAAGTGGTTTAGGGCAGCCGTCCCAACCCCCAGTCCGTGGACCGGTACCGGGCTACAGCATATCAGCAACCGGTCCGCACAAACAAGCAAAGCCCCAAACAAGCAGCACACAAAATCACATCCCCTCCGGTCCGCAGAAAAACTTCTCTCCATGTAACCGGTCCCTGGTGCCCAAAAGGTTGGGGACCTCTGGTTTAGAGCAATCAGAGTTGAGGTAAATCACATCTGCAGGACTCTACACTGGAGTCAACTCATATCCAAGGATGAGCTAAGCATTCTACTCTCTCACACTAGTATTACCCCAGCATACAGCACTCTTACTGAATTCTTCAGCTTTCAACTCCTGCAAAAATTCCATAGTTCACATACTTTCTTTAAGTCAACAATATGTGATAAACTTCTTTCTCACATGCATATATTTTTCATTGACTTTGCACATTCCCTGCCTGGAAAAACCCCAGATTGCACCTAATAATTGTTTTTCTTATTTTCACATCTCGTGTCCTTTCAATCAAAATGCTGCCAAATATTTCCCCAGGGATATGTAACTAAGCCTCTTGTAGTTTATGCATTCCTTTGCTATCTTTCCATTTGTATAAAAAAAAATAACAGCATTTTTTCTATCATTAGGCATATATGCAATCTTCAAATAAATATTTCTATATAGATATATATTTAACAAGTCTTACAACCACCCCATAAGTATATTTAACATTTCTCTGGTCTCACCATCTATGCCTGCAGTTTTACTATTTATCTACTGTCTCACAAATTTATGATTTCTTTTCCTGCTTGTCAAGAATAGTTTAGCCTCTGGGGTGACTTTGGACCAGTTGCTTTTTTTCTATAAATTGCAAGTTTGCTATTACAATAAAATGTTAGGGCTGGGAGAATGCAAGCCCCTCTGAATTTCTGGGAAGGATGGTAGCATCTCCAACATCAGAAAGCATTAAGGAAAAAAGAAAAAAAAGAGATAAATTTATTTATACAGAAAACCTAAAAAGAAATGCAGAATTAGTTGCCATAGGAATGTATTAATCAAGTCTATGTGTGTGTGAGTGAGAGAGAGCACATATGCACAGACACATGCATAATTTATATATGAGATTGCACTATTGAAACTAATTTGCCTGCATGTAATGCTTGATAAAAAATATACAGTTTTTTAATCTGTATTTACAAATTATATCTTCTTCACAATTCATGTTCCAGGCTTAAAATAATTAAAAAAAAACATACAGAACTTTTGCCCAACAGTTAATATGCAATTTGAAATAGGTCACACTGAGTGATTGTTTGGCATGTAATACCAAAAAATGATTGATCAAGAAACAACTACTTTGTTAATGTTGAAGCCAAATGTCACAATGCAAATGTTATGCAACCAGGGAAATCAATATTAGACCACGTTTTTGAATGCTGGTATGCTGCCACAACTAGATAGTTGACATTTCAGTGCTGATCCATTTTTAGAATTTGATTTTAACCTTTAATACCTTTCTGTTCTTGAGAAATACTGACAATAAGCAACTAGAAAAAAGGTATATTTTAGGGCTATGCGTTTCTAGATACTGTAGCTCAACTTCCAAACATACTAATAAAAGTAATAGTATTCCCATTTAAAGAATTGGGTTGGGTTTTCTTAAAAGATCTTTTATTATGAAGATAAATCAGACTGTTGAATAAGCAGCTTTAATACAAAGTTAAGAAGTATTCAAGCTTTGGTTTCTGCTGTTGTATATAGTATGTTTTAAGGGTGTTATGTTTGTGTACACTTTGAGAGGAAGCAACTAAATTTCATTTTTAATGTGTGCCATTGTGCCCCCAGGAAAAAATGACAATAAAGGTTATCTATCTATCTATCTATCTATCTATCTATCTATCTATCTATCTATCTATCTGTCTGTCTGTCTGTCTGTCTGTCAACTCACAAAAAATATCAACTGTCTGTAGTGCATGAGCATAATCTCAAAATCTCTCTTTAATCCAGATAGAATTTTCAGCAGTCTGAGTCTCAAATCCAACTGCCATTTACCCAGTGCCTCCCACTGTGAGCATGTTGTCAGTCTGCCATTCCTTCCCCATTCCCTTAATCTCCTGATAAGTTGCTGGCTCCTCTATTAACAAAGAAAAGCAAATCAATGTATTCAACATTTGTGAAAATACAAAGCAGAACAGAAGCATAAATACTGAGACAGAATTACTAATAATATTCTCTACACGATTATTACTATTTACAATTTAATGATGGCCGAACATTTCAAAATAAAGGCTTAATTCCTAGTGGGTTTGATATTTGAACCTAAGTAAGTCAGCAAAAAGTTCTTTCTTATCCTGCATTAGTAGATTTGGAACACAATTATTACTTCACATACCCAATATACTGTAAACTTGCAACAGCAGACCCACCCACAGAACAATGTATAGGAGAAATCTCATTATGAACCAAAATTGCATTCCATTATTATATTTTCATGCCACTCTTAACACGCTGCAGAACAATTTATGTATTTACATTCTGGACTATACCCACTGCTTTTTCTTCCAATCTTAAAAAAAAAGCTTGCTGTTTCATAATTCTATTTAATCCTAATAAAATTATTCTTTAGGGGTTTTTTTTTATTTTAAAGTAGCTGTAAACACATTCCCTTAGAGCTTTAATTTTTTAAAAAAAAATCATTGCAAAGTCATAATTTTTCCATAGCAGTGTTCCAATATCTCAGGGGCTGCCACAAAGAAGAGAGTGTCAAGCTATTTTCCAAGGTGCCTGAAGGCAGGACAAGAAGCAACGGGTGGAAACTAATCAAGGAGAGAAGCAACCTAGAACTAAGGAGAAACTTCCTGACAGTGAGAACAATTAACCAGTGGAACAACCTGCCTCCAGAAATGGTGAATGCTCCAACGCTGGAAGTTTTTAAGAAGAGACTGGACAGCCATTTGTCCGAAATGATATAGGGTTTCCTGCCTGAGCAGGGGGTTAGACTAAATGACCTCCAAGGTCCCT